AGACCTGGGTACAGTGGACTCTGAAATCCCCGACGAGGTCGTCAAAAAAATGACGAGGCCGAGCCTGCATTTTGACGAGGCCTCCCGCTGCATACATCCCACGAAACTCTCCTCGTCAAAATCCGAAGCGCGGTCAAAAAACGATGGCGAACCCGAGTCCTGGCAAACCCGGGTCTTACGCTCCCCCGATCAAAGGGTTCGGGCGGTCCTGCGGGTTTGGCGCCACCACTTCCGCTACGCCGGCACGCCAGCCATGAGCAACAGAGAGCGACGCGGCAAGTACGACAAGTACGACAAAGACAAGTACGACCGCTACAAGGACGACAGGCACGACCGCGACCGAGACCGCGGCCGCTACAAGGACAGCCGCAGTGACCGCGATCGTGATCGTGACCGCCGCTCCGACTCCAGAGACAGGAGGGACCGACGCCATGATGACAGTTCCGACCCTCCTCGCTCCCGAGAGCGTCGGTCCCGCGACGCGAGCCGCCGTGCAGGCTCCCGGGACCGCCACCAGCGTGGCCACTCCGACCGTTCCTCCCAGAAGTCGATCGAGGAGCTTCGCAAGTCCCTGGCTGCCGTGGACAAGGGGTACGCCGCCTACCAAGATCCGCCAGAAGGAGATGGAGCTTCGCAAGCAGGGGGAGTACGTGGCAGCTGCTCTGCGCAGCGCGTTCACGGCCCAGACCGACGAGCTCAAGAAGCAGCTAGGCCAGCGAGAGTGCCCACCGACGCCACCAGCACGCAGTCCGACGCCGCCCAAAAACGACCAGAAAAAGGAGTTCTCACGTGCAGAACTTGGGTGGCTTCAGGCGGTAGTCGGCACCAAAACCATGTTGCCCGCCACCGGTGAGATGGTTGCGGTCGAGACCATTCTCGTGAAGGCGCTCAAGGACGACAAGGTGGCTACCGCCAATGCCAACAAGGTGCTACGGAGCCACATGCCGCGAAAGCAGCTGCCGTCGAGCCACAAAGACAAGGTGAGTTCTTTGATTGATGTGGTCCTTGGGCGCATCGGCTGAGAACCAGAACGTAACGAACAGCTGCGTGATGATCCCAACCGCTTGATGCCAGAGGGGTCTGATCTTTTTCATCGTTGGCATCGTCCTGGGTGTGACCATCAACCTGTGGCTTCCATCAGCTGGCTATCGCCATATCGAGGTGTTGAAAGCATACTGGTTGTTAAATTGGAGCCACGTGCGTGAATCGAGGTGTGTCCAGTATGTGATAGATACCCTGGAGCTTCCCTTTTCGGTTTTCTCGAGCAACGAGGCGGCCATAGTCCAGTCATGTGTCTCAGGCTTAGTAGGAGTTGCATTCTCGACGGTTTTCTTTCGCGCAACAGATGTCGACCCCCAGCAGTACCTCCAGAGGCCCCGTAGGCCCCGCAAGCGTGAAGCACTCCCAGCCGTCTCCGAATGCGTCCCCGTGGAGAGCATATCGGCTTCGGAGGGGTGCTGAGTTTGCAGCCTACAGTCCTCCTTCCCTCCTCCTCCTCCCCCTCCCCTAGACATATCAGAAAAACAAAAAGAACGGGGGGACCCCGATCCTGAGGTGCCCACTCCACTGGCTGTGCACCAGTGGTGCGAACACCCACCCTAGTCTTCTCCGTGGCCGAGGCTCGTGGAGGCAGTTCCCTCATGCGCCATGGGCTGTACCCCAGGTGGTAGATGGCACGATTCCAGCGAGCCACTTGACCCTGTCCCTTGCTAGTAGAATCGTGAGCTGTCCCTCAGAGTCGACCCCGAGGGCAGGGCAGACGACTGCTCCACCAGGCTGCTGCAGCGGAGCCTGTTCCGCTTCGCCGCCAAGGCTGGGCCCTCCCTTCCTCTTTCCATTTCCATACCCCCCTCCCCTGTATTCCTTCCCCTCGGCCTCTGGCACCAAGGTCTAGCCTGGCACGCGGTCGCACGTAAAGCGTAAGATATTCCTTGGATGGGACTCTCTCTCTCTCTCTCACAACCCACCCTCAAACATCTCTCCGCCTCACTCTCCCCAGCGTGCTCCGGCAGAGCGTTTCCAGAGCACGTTCCGCCGTGCTCCCCAACGTGCTCCGGCAGAGCGTTTCCGGAGCACGTTCCCCCGTGATCCGGCAGAGCGGTTCCGGAGCATGGTACTCGCAGGCCACATCTCATCTCCTCCTCCTACCATCCAAGTCCCATCCTATCCTCCACCTGTCTTCCGTGCCATCGTCGTTCGTGCTCGAGCCTCTTCAGAGTGGCCTGCGCACCCAAGCGGTGCTCACAGTGCGTAGGTCGGCCGCCACTTCACGAAGTGCTCTGCAGTGGGCTCGCGAGGTGTCCAGTTGGGTTGTTCTCGGAAAACAGTTACTCTCTCTCTCTCTCTCTCCCTCCCTCCTCTCCATTAGGTGGTCGTTCCTGTGGAGCAGCCGCGGGGCTGAGCGCAGGCCCGCGGGCGCGCGCGCTTTGAACGAGCGAAACAGCGCGCCAGCGGCGTCTATCCCCCTGGGCCGATCTGGCGAGAAAAACCGCCCGAGCAGTTGCTAGAGAAAAAGCTGCGCCGGACCTTCGCGCGCGGCCCGCCGTCGCGAGGCGCCGTTCATCGGGCCCCGCGAGCGCTGCGCAATCACTCGCGAAGATAAGTGGCGGTTGAGCAGCAGCTGCACCACGTCTCAGTTCCAAATCGATGTCAGCCCCGCAGGCAAGCGCTCTGCCAGCGCCACTGGAGACTGGGCTTGCAACCAGCGCCGGCGCGTTCTGCGGCACGCGCCAGCCTGTCTCGCAGCGCCGCGCCTCGCTGGCTGCTTTCTCAGCCGTGGCTCGCATCGCCGTGCGCTCCTCCAAATCCCCGGCCCCCTCGATCTCCTGCTCTCTCTGCTCGCGTCGACGCCGGGTGTCATCATCGCGCGCCTGCCATGCCCGACCCCGAAAACGCGCGCCCATCTCCGAACTGACGTCCTTCTCGACCCTCGTCTCCTCGAGCCAGCGGCGGCTTGTCCAGCTGCGGCGGCGCGCGGCCCTCGGACCTGACCGATCGGGGGGGGCGGCTGCGAGGCGCTGGAACTGCTGGAGGCCACGCCCTGGCTCGCCCTGGCTGGAGGCCTTCTGGGCCCCGTCCTGGCTGGGAGATGTCTGGTTGTCCATGTCGCGACGCCTGCCATCTCGCACGTGTCGGTCGATCTTGCGCGCCGCACCCCGCTGATCAAAGTCGTCGATGTCTTCCCCGCGCTGATCCATGCAACGCTCCTTGTTCAGAGACGTCGTTTCAAGCACGCGTGAAGCCTCTTGCCTGACAAGGATGAGGAGAGGTTCGGTTGCTTCTCCGCTGCGGGTGTCGACGACGTCGAAGATCGACAGGTTACCAGCCCCCATCCACATGAGCAGGAGTTCCTGGCATTGCTTTGCCCCTATCAAACAGGGCCCATGAGCTTCCATACCGCACGTGCCGTCTGCAAGCTTGCAATCATCAAGACCTCCCTTTGTAAAGGATTTGCTGTGCGCCTTGTCGGTCTACAGATCGATGATATCGTGTTCTTTCATTGGCTCGCCATGTTCATGACAGAGCTGGTACACATCCCCCAAGTCACGTTTGGTCATGTAGTGTCTGGTGGTGTCCTCAGACCGAGCCTGGTGCAAGAGCTCATGTCAGCGCCTCGCACAATGGAGCGACCAAGATGCATGTAATAATGGCGGAATTCCCTGGCCCACCAATGCCACATATCGCAAGACAGCGCGACGGAAAGCGTCGCTGGCTCGGCGCGCAACGCATAAGATCAAAGAGCTGCCACATAATGTTTTTGCAGTCTGCCCGCATGGCGCGGTACACCACGTGGCCATGGGAAAACCACTATGAACAATGGGCGGGTCGTCGACCGCACAACACTACATCGATTGTTTCACATAGGTTCGCACATGTGTTGCTAGAACAACACCGTTTGAGGCCCACGCTAGGAAACATTGATAATCGTGTCCTCCTCCTCCTCCTCCTCCTCCTCCTCCGACCCTTTTCCTTATAGAGCACTCCTCCCTGTCGCACCCCCGCACGCGTCAGTAGAGCGGGCCGGGCGTTCCGCACACCCTTTCACAACGCATCATCCTAAGGCTTGAGATTTGCAACAGCTTCGCGGATGGAGGCGGGTAGCTTCCAAAATTTGGCTCTCGAAGTAGCGGCGCGCACAGCCACCTTCAAAGTTTGCAGCAGCTGCGCGTATGGATCGCGGTCGATGTCCAAATGCGGTGTTCACCTCAGCGCCGCGCATATTCGCCGTTGAATGCTTGCAGCAGCTTCTAGGATGGATGGCAATTCTTTTTCAAAATGTGGCTCTTGCCTTCGCAAAGCGCACATTCGTCTTGGACGTTCTCAACAACTGCGCGGGTGGAAAAAAATCGTTTTCGAAATGTGGCTCTCACCTCACCGACGCGCACAGACGCGTTCAACAGTCCAGACCGCTTCAAGGATGGAAGCCGACTCGCTTTTTATGTCGTTTTCGCCATGGTGCCGCACACACTCACCATGCAAGTTATAACAACTGACAAAACTCGAACCGACAACATCCACATATTGATGTTCTGACACGATTTAGGATTGTCAGGACGCAGCCGTCACCCCTCACGTTGATTCCAGGTGTCGATGTCCAGAGATGTGCGTTCTAGCGCGATTTAGGATTGACAGGACGCAACATGAACGTTGAGACCCGGCGTTGGAATTCTAACAACGTTTTTGTTCGCATGATTGGAGGTTCCCTAATGGATGTGTTCTAGTGGACCACTTCCCGCAATGAGCATTACACATGAAGAAGGAACTTGGAGGGAGAGTTTATTGCAACATCGTTGACGCGTCCTGGGTTTGCACTGGTCCCTCTTCCTCCTCCTCCAACAAATCCTCCTTCGTCCGTCCCCCCCCTTGTTTCCTACGGTCTTTTCCTTCTCGCCCCCTCCTCTCCTCAGTCCTCTCTCCCCCTCCTTCACCGTTCTCCCCATGTTCCTCTCCCTTTGCTCGGTCCTGGCGCGCGGGCCGCGTGGGGCCCCCGAGGGAGCGGCGAGATGGCCCGGAGGCTCGCGACGCACGTGCCCAGCAGGGGCGCGGCGAGGAAGGCGATGCCTGGGGCCGGGGGGGGAGTCGTCCGCTTTTTCCTCCTCGGACGAAGAGCAGGTTTTTTGCTCCTCCTCCTGCTCCTCCTCCTCTTTCTCCTCCTCCTCCTCCTCCTCCTCCTCCTCCTCCTTCTCCTCTGCCACCTCCTCATCCTTCTCCTCCTCCTCCTCCTTCACCTCCCCCGTTCCTTCTCACTCTCCTCCTCCTCCTCCCCCTACGGTTTCTACGGTTTCCAGCATGAGGAATGTTCGAAGCGTATCGAATACAACTTGCAAGATGATAAGGTGCGGACGGGCGGCGGCTCGCGCCAAGGCGCGAAGCGGGGCTTCCTCACACCCGCCGCCGCCGTCCAGCGGTCGCCGCCAGATTCGCTTGAGCTGTCATCCCTGCCCCACTTTCGGGCACAGTCATGCTTGCGCTCGAACTCGCAGTATGGGTCAAGGGGGATATAAAAACCGAGAGCCTCTTGAGGGACCTCCCAAGTCGTAGGGCCGACCCTCGCCCTGGCCTCGACCCCTTCCCACATACATCGAGCGAGCAAATTACACAGCTCAGCGGGGTATTCCTTCAACGCAGCTGTTCGGAACTCCCCCATTTCCCCACGGCCCAGGGCCTGACGATGCCGACCAGGATGGTTGCACCTCCCCCCCCCAGGCCCTTCTCGGACCTTTTATCCCAAGAGAGGGAAGGTGGATGGTCAGAAACGTAGTAGGTTTCTCATACTCACATCCGTAGAGGCACTGAGCAACCGTCACCTTCTCGGCCCCTGGCAACGACAGGATATATCGAACCTCGTCCAGCAACCACGACGAGGGAGCCCGCGGTCGCCAGTGGGCCTCGGCCGGGTGTTCCATGATAGCGGGGGTGTCGTGCCCCGCGCACGCCACCAAGAATCTACACATGGGTCTCAGCAACACATTGCCGAGGTCCACTTGTCTCCTTTCCTTACTCGTGAGGCACTCAATGCCCCAAGGGAGCTCCCTGGATCTCACCGGCCTGGGGCCCCTGCCGTTGGCCAGACTGTTGAACCTGGCCGCGCCCCCGGTCTCGCGCGGGGGGGCCCCGAGCAAGCCGACAACCACGAACTCCCGCACAAGTTTCAGCCAGTGCTCGATGGCACCTTCGACGCTGAGGTCCCCCAACACTGGCGCGTTGGCCACGTCCAGGCTCAAGGTCCAGACGGGCCTGTCCTGGGGGGCCTGTGTCTGGAAATGCTCGACCCAATCCTGCAGGTCCCCTATCCGACGTCTACCCGAGAACAAATGCAGGATTAAGTTGCACTGGAACCTACAACGCTCTGGCCGTTCTCAAAAAAGCCCGGGCATCCTGCTGATACTCCACGACGCTGGGGGGCTCGACGGGGTCGTGCATCTCAGGGTCCTGGGGCGGGATCAGCGGGGTCGCCGACCTCACGGCGGGGATCAGGGCCTTCTCCTGGTAGAGGCCTCGCTGCCGAAGATCCTTGCTCTCCTGCGCGTCAAGCCTCTGGAGCTCCAGAACTTGCTCCTCCCCCATGGGTCTGAAAAACGCCCGAATCGCCGTGAGACACCTCGCATCCTTGCCGAGTCTCATCCTAGTGTGAAATTTCCACCCACAGGCGGGGCAACACGATCCGAACAGAAACCGATTAACCTGCCCGAGCTCAGGGTGGGCCTTAGCGACATGCATTTCCCACCCGGTCTTGCTTTGGGCGGCGTAGCCACATTCATGGCACACATGGCCTCCAGGGGACTTGACCTTCGCAAAAGGGGGGGGCAAGCTTCCGCCTTCAGCTTCCGCCGCGAGCGCCCTGCGCCACTCCGTGAGCCTCAGCTGGTCACGCCCCCAGGCGAGCGAGCTCCTCCAGGCCGGGCGGAGACAAGTGAGGAAGAACTCAGGCCCGCTCCTGGCCACTTCCACCGCGGTTTCCACAGAATCCCCCAACACTCGAGTGGCCTCATCCCCCGCGTGCCCTTCTGACCTTGGGCGTACCGAAGCAGACGCACAAGGTACTTGAGTCTCCTATACGCCATCAGTCGCCCAAGAGGCGCCCGCTGGCACGTGAACAAAACCTCGGCGTCCGACACGGTATCCTTTCGCCTCTGACACTTGACAGCACGTCTCAGGGACCCGAAATAAGTCGACTCCAGCTGCCGCTTGCTTGTCTCACTCAACTGTCCCCACGTCTCCACGTTATAAATATTCTTAGACTCGATGAGAGCCGCATGGTACTGCAACTTAGCCGCCAGAGAGACCCCTCTCATTCTGAAAACGGTTCTAGACATCGCTCCCGCGATGGCTCTAGCAGCGCCGCATCTATAGGCCACCTCGTGCCCTATCGACCCGTCCGCAGCCAGCAACGTCCCGAGGGACTTCTGCGTGGCCACCAGCCCAACCGTTCCCTGCAAGTTTGGGATGTAAATCTGGCCCCGCAACTCAACCGACAACAAGCGCTTACACCACGCTTTGTCTCTGCCGTTGACCTGGACCATCACTTGCGATTTTCCCGCAACGAAGCTGATGACGAGGCCATCTTGGGCCATGCGCGTGGCAATGACCGAGAAAACCGTTCGAACAACCCACCGCGCATCAGAGTTGCCTCTACACACCACGGGAAAATTAGCATCATCAGCATAGGCAGTGTCGGCCAGGGGGGCTCGTCCCCCGACTCAGCCAGGATGCTGACCTGGGCTTCTTTCAACTCATACAAAAGACCCCTCTCGCTTCAATCCTTCTCGATATTGTGCAAAGTCCTAGCGAAAAGGGCGTTGTAGAAAAAGTCGGCAAGCGCATTGCCTGGCCTAGAGCCTTTGGTCGTGGCAGCGGCACAACATGCTTCGCCAACCCGAAACCACGTCGCTCTCTGGCTCTCGCTCAGCAGCCGACTGAGGGGGGGGGGGGGGGCTTTCCCCTCGAGGACACACGGCGACTGCATCGTCCGCTCGTGGGCTGGTCTCATCCACTCTGTGATAGGGACCGAATCAATGATGCTCCTCCTCTCCTCCTCATCCGTGGGCAGGTCAACAACGAACTGCCGAATCATACTATAAACGCACCGATCACCTCCACAAGCGGCAGCACCGCCGTGAACTGCTCAGCCTGCGCCTGATGCAAGAAAGCCAACATCGTGTGGGTGGACAGCGCAGTTCCTCTCCCTTTCCGACCGCCAGTCTGGGAGTCTTCGAGCAGACTCTCAATGAAGGCGTTCAAGCACTGTCTGAGGAAGGCGTAGTGGAACTTGGGCACGGCATTGGTCAGGGTGATAGACCTGAAGTGCTTAGCCACCCCCCAGTCCCCCTTGCCTTTGAACAGCCCGCACGACTGGGTCCCCTTCCAGGACGGCGGCTCAAACCCCGTAAGACTGACCTTAACTAACAAGGGTTGAATGTGCCGCGCCACAGCCTCTGGGGCCGCGGCCAACGTCGACCGAGAGCCCGTTGGGCACAGACTTCCACTTGGGGGCCCCTTGGATGGCCCCAACGAGCCACTCGCGGGCGGGGACATACTCAATCACCGCTTGAAAGTCAATACTCATCCTAGGAGCCGTCTTATCATAGATGTCCTCAAGCTCCTGGAAATGCACCCTACGGGCCCCCTCAATTTCGGAGAAGTGTCTCAGAAGCTCCTCATCCCACTCCTGGGGCCCTCGGAGGACCTGACCTTGTTCATCCCGATAGATAAGCAAAAGGTTCGCCCCTTTATACCGGGCCTGCTCGAAACCTCCAGTGGCGATGACCCTCTTGGCCTTCTGCCACTCATTGTTGGCGTCTCCGCTCTCACGACTGCTCATCATTTCCCGCGCCAGGTTCTCAACTTTACTGATGCGATCTCGCATGATGCAGTCGCGCAGCACCTGCCGGGTCTGGTGAAGGAAAAACGGATAGCATCGACCAGGCACGCAACTGGCAACACCGCCTCCACAACCTGAACAAATTTCCTCCAGGTAGCACGCGTGGAGGCTCCACTCGCACTGCGCCTGCACAAAGTCAGAGATTCGCGGCCCGAAAGACCACGCAAAGATACGTGCTATGTCCCAGTTGCCCTGCCTAATCCCACGGATAACCGTGAGCCCCCATCAGCGGAGCCTAACAAGCTCCATGACCTGCCTACTGACATACGGCTTAAAGGGAGTAAAGGGGTCCTGGCCAAAGTGCCTCTTAGCGGCGTTCAACCTGGTTTCAGTCACCGCCGCACTATGCTCCTCAGCACCGACCTCCCGCGCGCACACTGGCCGCTCATGGAGCTCCCGAGCGAAGGCCTCTTTGACTTCAGGGTCGGAAAACCTACGGGGGCCCATGCGGGGGGCCCCGTGAACCTTGACTTGTTTGACCACCTGCTACTCAAACCTACACCCGACAGGGGAATGATCATCCTTGAGTCGCTGAGAATCAACAGCGTAATCCACAGGCCTTCTTGGCGCACTGCCGCCAGGCCACACTGGTGGTCACATAGTCCAGTCGATGTCTGGTGCCCGCATGCGAACCCCAAGTGTGCCCCTGCTCGTGAGGCAAGCCAGTGTTGAGAGCCACGTGGCCCCCAAGATCAAGCAACTCCCGAAAGTCTCCTCCGTTATCATCCTCCATCTGCTGCAGACCCCCCCCCCCCCCCACTCCGTCATCTTCAACGCTGCCGACGCGGGCATCCGCATCAGCAAGCAGGATGGTCGGCTTCCATCGCGCCATCAACTGACGTGCGTGGGCCCACCACGCCTTTCACACCTCCGGCTTGTAGTTACTGAGTGGGGCACGCAACGCAGCAACATTTTCGTCGAACAACTCGGCCTGCGCAGCCGCGATGAGGGCGCGGGGGTCAGAATACAGCACGCGGACCTGCTGGGGCTGTATCCGATGTTCAACCTCGCCAACTTTCGCGTACACAGCCTGCAGGTTAACGTAAAGCTCGCACCCAAGACTCCCCTCTTCAGGCCCCGATGACAGGACCAGGAAATCCTCCGCGACCTTGCGTCGCTCGGGCGTACGGCTGTCTTGCACCCCCACGAACAGCCATCCGAATTGCCTGAACTGGGCTCT